GGGGGGGGATTTTTGGGCGGGAAAGCCGAACTCCTCTCTTTTTCCCCCAAAGGCAGCGGCTCGTCCTGCCGGCGGCGCCGCGGGAGCAGCGGCTCCTCCCCGGGCTGGCAGATAGCGCGGCGAAGGCGGTCGGTACCTATACATATACATTTAACACCAAACACCCGCGTTATTTCCCCACCGGGTGCCCTGTCAGCACCCGTGCGTGCCCCCGAGGGCGCTGATGGAGGCGTTCCCGATAATCCCACTATTCCCAGAGAAACGCCGTTAGACCCCTTGCGCTCCTCCTTATTAGATTACAGGAGTTGAAGATTAACATAGCATTTAAAAGAAGCACTAATTATCCAAGTTCTGTTTTTAATAGCATCCGTGCGTGAACCTATTGACGCGTCAGCGTAGTAATTAATTATTTCAACTTGTCTTGAACCTCCGGCTTTGTCCCGAAGCGTTCCATACCGCAAAGTCAGGACTTACAGGTGAAATTCAGTAATAATAGTCTTTTGGGCTGTATTTGATGCTGCTTTTTAATATATCTCTGAGAAACTGGGTGTAAAACGTAGGCAGCCAGGGAGGTTTTCAGGCTTTTGGCTGCAGAGGGGTGAGAGGTCTCCAGAGGGAGCGCGGGCCCCCGCGTCGCTGCTCGAAACCTGTAGATTTACTGCTCTTGGCTGCAGTTTGCCGTTCGCAGACCCCAAATGGAGAAGTACTTCGTTAGAACTAACGCCCGGGCTCTTAATTCCCAGTTTTAGGAATAATAACCGGCTTTGATGAGATTTCTGTTAAAACAGACCCCCGTTAATATCAGGGCTCTGCAGGCTTTTTCGTGTCGGGAAGAAACGCCGAGGTCAAACGTATTTCCTTAAGAAGATTTTCTCCTGTTTCCAGATAAAGGAGACTTGGTTTCCAAATCAGATTAGAGCCCGGGCGCGTAATTAAACGTTATTGCATCTGCAGACCATGCCTGACAGCGTGAGAACCGCTCACGATTAGCGGTGAGAAATTTTTGCCTTGAAAAACCTGCAATTTCGGGTTCGGCGGCCGCCG